GAAAAAAATTAACAATTTCCCGCTTTTAAAAAACTTATGTTTACTTACCTTAATTTTTTTTCACGAAAATTTGACAGGGTGATTTTCTCGAGAGTGAAAAAATTTAATTTTTTCACTTTTTTGAAATTCTCTAAGATTTTTTTTTGACAAAGATGTATTTTGTCTTGGCTACCTGTGTCTGTCTTGGGCTACCTGTGTCTCGCTTGACACAGGTAGCCCAAGACATAGTAACTTGTTTCGATTTTGTAGTTTTTTCTTCTATTTCTCTAGTTTTTTTTCTATTTTCTAAATAGAAAAAAAATAGGGAATAAACTAGAGAAATAGAAGAAAAAACTAGAGAAAAGAACTAACTAGAAAAAAAAAACTAGACAAAAAAACTAGAGAAAAAAAACTAACTAGAAAAACTAAAGAAAAAAAAACTGGAAAACAGAAGAAAGTTCATCTTAAACTTTCAAAAACATTTAGAAAATACTTAGAGAAAAACATTAAGAAAAAATTAGAGAAAAAAACTAGAAAGAAAAACTAGAGAAAAAACTAACTAGAAAAATAGAAAAAAAACTAGAGAAATAGAAGAAAAAACTAGAGAAAAGAAAACTAACTAGAAAAATAGAAAAAAAACTAGAGAAATAGAGGAAATAAAAGACAAGAAAAATAGAAAAAACTAGAGAAATAGAAGAAAAAACTAGAGAAAAAAACTAGAGAAATAAGAAGAAATACAACAGGTTTAACTTAGAAAAAATACTAAAAAAATACTAAGAGGTTTAATTTTAGAATCGTCAAGTCACACAGAAGAACTTGCAAAATAAAAACACTAACACCATCAGACGAAAAAGGTTTATTTCTTAAACTTTACAAAGAAAAAAGTTAAATAAAACTAGAGAAAAAAAAGTAAAAACTAGAGTAAAAAAAAACTAGAGAAAAAAAACTAAGTAGAAAAATAGAAAAAAAACTAGAGAAATAGAAGTAAAAACTAGAGTAAAAAGAACTAGAGAGAAAAAAAACTAGAGAGAAAAAAAACTAAGTAGAAAAACTAGAGGAATAGAAGTAAAAACTAGAGTAAAAAAAACTAGAGAGAAAAAAAACTAAGTAGAAAAATAGAAAAAAAAATTAGAGAAATAGAAAGTAAAAACTAGAGTAAAAATAGAGAGAAAAAAAACTAGAGAGAAAAAATAAGTGAGAAAAAAACTAGAGAAATAGAAGTAAAAACTAGAGAAAAAAAACTAGAGAGAAAAAAAACTAGATAAATAGAAGATAACACTAACAGGTTTTTTTTTAAAACTTAGAAAAAATACTAAGAGGTTTAATTTGGAATTGTCAAGTCACACAGAAGAACTTGCAAAATAAAAACACTAACACCACCAGATGAATAAGGTTTACTTCTTAAACTTTACAAAGAAAAAAGTTATCTCTATATATAAATCCAAGTTGTGAAAATTGTCACATAATTCATAACATTTCACACTAAAATATATGAATTAATAAATCTGGGTGCCTTTCAACTTTCTTCAACATAAAGTAAAAAAAGAATTTCATAAAAAAAATAAGAGAATATTAGAAAAAAAACTAATACTAGAGAAATTAAGAAAAAAGAAGTATAAGAAAAAGCCAAAGGCCCAAAGCAACTGTCAAAATCTTTCAATTGTGAAAGCGCAAGGAAAAACATGCAAAATCGAAACAACAAAACCACAAGACAAAAACAAGTTTCTTCTTATACTTTCAAAAAATTTAGAAGCAACTGCCAAAATCTTTTCAATTGTGAAGCACACGGAAAACATGCAAATCAAAAACAAACACACAAGACAAAATCAAGTTTCTTCTTAAACTTTTAAAAAACATTTAGAAGCAACTGCCCAAAATCTTTTAATTGTGAAGCACACGGAAAAAAGCAAAGAAACAACAAACACCACAAGACAAAAATCAAGTTTCTTCTTAAACTTTTCAAAAAACATTTAGAAGCAACTGCCAAAATCTTTCAATGTGAAAGTACACGGAAAAACATGCAAATCAACACTAACACCACAGACAAAAAAGGTTTCTTCTAAACTTTACAAAGAAAAATTCTCTTTTAATCCAAGTTTTGAAAATTGTCACATAATTGATAACATTTCACACATGTTACCACACACTAAAATATATTAATCAATGAATCTAGGATAGGGCTAAAGTAATTCACATTCTTCAGGGGTGCCTTTCAACTTTCTTCAACTTCATTCATTCTAAAGAGAAAAAGCATTTCATCAATCCTTTTAGGCAAAAAGTGGCAGCAAAGTTTGTATTTTCAACCTGACATCATTATTAAAAGATATTACTCATTATCTAAAACAGAATGCATTCATGAATGTATTGTCTATCCATGAAAGACGACTAAAGTAAGATAATTTATCTTACTTTAGTCGTCTTTCATGGATAGACAATACATTCATGAATGCATTCTGTTTTATGCCAATTATATTTTTGCCATTTTCAATAAAAAGAATGTGTCACATGCATATATTCAACCCAGACATATGTCACTATTTAATTTGAACACAGAAAAACTGGGTATCACCCTTCTGAGTACTACAGAATATAAATCACATGGAAATCAGAAAAATTCCCCCCAAGTTTAAAATAGTAACTGCTGATCTTTTTCGTGGATATTTATTGTAAGACCACCACAGGAATTTTAGTAATCAGCCAGACTGGTTCAACTGTTATAGCATTAAGTTTCATCATTGGTCTCACACATGGTGACCAAAGCAAATTTCAATTTCATAGTTGTCATCTCAACAATGTAGTGGCTTTTTAAAATCAAATGCTGACCATCCATGACAAAATCAAATTACCTCTGTGCAGAAATCTTGTCACTTCCAATGTTCATCTGACAGTAAAGTTCATATCCACAACTCATGTTGCACTCTTGACCAAGAAAAATCTTGAATAAAGATATATAAATAAGACATGATTAATATAAAATTCCATTTTCAACTATCTTAATTATTGTCTAGTTTTTGGTCAGGTATTCTATACCCGGGCACTCGGGCAGTTGATATGTATTACAAGGTCACTACAAGAATTTCAGCTGCAAGGTTAATATAAATTTTGAAGAAACAATCGAATTACCTTTGCGCAGAAATCTTGTTCACTTCCAATGTTCATCTGACAGTAAAGTTCATATCCACAACTCAAGTTGCACTCTTGACCAAGGAAAATCTTAAATATAAGAAGACATGATTAATATAAAATTGCATTTTCAACTATCTTAATTATTGTCTAGTTTTTAATCAGGTAATCTATGGTTATACTTCATCCCTCTACATATAACTATGGTTGCTATATTTATTTAAAGACCACCACAGGAATTTATTACTGGTGACACATAGTGAGCATAGAAGCAATGTTAACTTAGTAATCTTAACAAAATTTGTGACTGCCTGACAATTTTTCAAAAAAAGATCCCAGTTGCAGCAAATTCCCCCTTATACTAAATAACAAAATATATACCCAGGCAGTTGATATGTATTACAAGATCACTACAAGAATTTCAGCTGCAAGGCTAATATAACTTTTGAAGGAACAATCGAATTACCTTTGCGCAGAAATCTTGTCACTTCCAATGTTCATCTGACAGTAAAGTTCATATCCACAGCTCATGTTGCACTCTTGACCAAGGAAAATCTTGAATATAGATATATAAATAAGAAGACATGATTAATATAAAATTGCATTTTCAACTATCTTAATTATTGTCTAGTTTTTGGTCAGATATTCTATGGTTATACTTCATCCCTCCACATATAACTATGGTTGCTATGTATTTAAAGACCACCACAGGAATTTATTACTGGTGACACATTGTGAGCATAGAAGCAATGTTAACTTAGTAATCTTAACAAAATTTGTGACTGCCTGACAATTTCCCCCTTATACTAAGTAGCAAAATATATACCCAGGCAGTTGATATGTATTACAAGGTCACTACAAGAATTTCAGCTGCAAGGCTAATATAACTTTTGAAGGAACAATCGAATTACCTCTGTGCAGAAATCTTGTCACTTCCAATGTTCATCTGACAGTAAAGTTCATATTCACAGGTCATGTTGCACTCTTGACCAAGAAAAATCTTGAATATAAGAAGACATGATTAATATAAAATTGCATTTTCAACTATCTTAATTATTGTGTAGTTTTAGCAGAAGGCACACAAACATCAAAGTAAAATACTTAACTTTGACCTGACAGCACAACAATCTTGCTCAGAAAGGTTCGCGAACGGTCCACGTGGATGGTTCTTCGCATCGCCATTTTGAATTCGGCCGGGCGAATCTTGAACTGATTTCTATTTCAACTGTTCTCTTGACGTTCGTCTTGATAACTGGCTGTTGAGATAAACGTTAATGACAAAATGTTAAGTTCTGCTTCAGTTTATGGGTGCGGATGTTGCTCATGACATAAATTTTCAGTAAAAAATTATCATCATTGCAGGCAGAATTAAGCTCGAAACTTTAGATAACCTTGTACGCAGAATATTTCATATTGTACATGGCTTTTTGTTATTTCTGGCCGACAATTAGCAGAAGGCACACAAACATGAAAGTACAATACTTAACTTTCACCAGACAGCACAACAATCTTGCTCAGAAAGGTCCGCGAACGGTCCACGTGTATGGTTTTAGTTCGGCATCGCCATTTTGAATTCGGCCGGGCGAGTCTTGAACTGATTTCAATTTTTCAAATGTTCTCTTGACGTTCGTCTTGATAACTGGCTGTTGAGATAAACGTTAATGACAAAATGTTCAGTTCTGCTTCCGTCTATGGGTGCGGATATTGCTCATGACATAAATTTTCAGTAAAAAATTATCATCATTGCAGGCAGAATTAAGCTCGAAACTTTAGATAACCTTGTACGCAGAATATTTCATATTGTATATGGTTTTTTGTTATTTCTGGCCGACAATTAGCAGAAGGCACACAAACATCAAAGTAAAATACTTAACTTTGACCAGAAAGCACAACAATCTTGCTCGGAAAGGTCCGCGAACGGTCCACGTGGATGGTTTTCTTTGGCATCGCCATTTTGAATTTGGCCGGGCGAGTCTTCACCTTCATCTTGACAACTAGCTGTTCAGATAAACCTATATACAACGAAAAAAAAGGGTTCGGCTCAGCTACACTGTACTCCTTAAGGAAGGCCTACGGCCTTCCCGTAGATTAGTGTAAAGGCCTACAAGTGGGAACTAGCAGCGTGCGGGGGACCAAAACGCTCTAGGCAAACGGTCCCCTACTGGGGTCGGACAAAGCAACCGCAGATTACGCATATAATCGCCGGAACCCACCTTTTAGTCAACGGCGAACTCCTTCTTCCTCGAACAATCTTCAATCTTGCTGAGCTTCGATCTTGCTGTCCACCTTCGATCGCCACCTAATTAAAGAAATTTTTTTTTAACGTTGAGATTAGTTTTTAGGCGATAATTACCATGTGATCATAGCAGATCACGTGGTATGATAATGTACGACAACATGCCGATCAACTCCGAACATCATCGTGAGCGATGTTACTATAAACGAATCGCTAAAAGCCTAGAAAAAAGTTGTCTTTTCCCATATTTCATAAAAGCAGTGCATTCTAGTTTTGTTCAGTTGAAGCACAATTTGTTTTTTGCTTCTAGTTTTTGGTTTCGTTTTAAAAGGTGAATAGTCGCTGTGTGCCGAATTCTTTGTATTTCTGATGTCAAACAATCCTGTACTTTTTGGTATCGTAAATATAAGCTCCTTTGTTTTGGAGACATACAACAGTTTTTTTTTATATTTTAGCCAAAACATATAGCAGCAATTACAGATTCACTAAGTTCATTCTCATCTTGATTCACAAATTTTTAAAGGACTTGAATCGATTCCATGCGGTCTACAATAGCTGGGCGAACGTCTTACACCTAAAGTCAGTCAAAGATTGTTGTATCTCAATTCTTTAGCTTCAGTGATAAACAACATGAAGAAAAATATCACACTTAATCACAGAAAACAACACAGATCAGTATACCATGAGAAACATTAAAAGGCCTTTATGATCTCTTATAATAATTACCTTGGCAAACATTTTGCAAGAAAACTCTCACAAAGTCCAGTTAACTGATAAACCTAAATGACATACCTCCGAATAGCTTTTGTTCTGCTCCGAGAAGGTCATCGTTGGCAGTTCCTTGGCTAGCAATAATAGAAAAAAATGATTAGGACTCTATATTCTGGATGGCGTTGGCCTTGCAGCACCTGTCCACAGGATGTAAATTGACAGTCATCTCAGGCAGTCATCTCAGGCAGTCATCTCAGGCAGTCATCTCAGGCAATCATCTGGGGCAGTCATCTCGGGCAATCATCTTGGGCAGTCACCTCGGGGAGTCATCTCAGGCAGTCATCTCAGGCAGTCATCTCGGGCAATCATCTCAGGCAGTCATCTCGGGCAATCATCTCAGGCAGTCATCTTAGGCAGTCATCTAAGGCAGTCATCTCAGGCAGTCATCTCAGGCAGTCATCTCAGGCAGTCATCTCAGGATCTCATCTCAGGCAGTCATATCGGGCAGTCATCTCAGGCAGTCATCTCAGGCAGTCATCTCAAGCAGTCATCTCGGGCAATCATCTCAGGATCTCATCTCAGGCAGTCATCTCAAGCAGTCATCTCAGGCAGTCATCTCAGGCAGTCATCTCGGGCAGTCATCTCAGGCAGTCATCTCAGGCAGTCATCTCGGGCAATCATCTCGGGCAGTCATCTCGGGCAATCATCTCAGGCAGTCATCTCGGGCAGTCATCTCGGGCAGTCATCTCAGGCAGTCATCTCAGGCAGTCATCTCAGGCAGTCATCTCGGGTAGTCACCTCAGGCAGTCATCTCAGGCAATCACCTCAGGCAGTCATCTCAGGCAGTGTTTAGTAGGACCCTACAATTATGCAAAGTAGAACACAATGGAACTGCAAACATGAAATATTGAAAATGATAGGAATCTTCGAAGTTTACTGAATCATCAAAGACTCACGGTCGAGAATTCCACGGGCGAGTTCTCGCCGTCGAGCGAGATTTTCACGTCGTCCACCCGGGCTCTCGGGAGCTTCGTTGCCGCCTAAAGATATGTTTGAATGTTTTAGGTTAGTTTGAGTTTGGTCGTGTGGTTGGTTGGTTGGTTCGTGTCAGCATTCGTTTTCTCGTCCTGTTTGAGGTCGAAATTTACCGACCGTCGATGTGACCTCATCTCACTGATGTGTGTCAAGGAACGAGATAGAAAAGTCTTCCTAGTAAAGTGTACCAAGGGCGATTTACTAAGAGATTTACCACCGGCTATCAGTGCTGGTGGTGAAAGACTTAGAATTTTTTAGACTTAGAGTTTTTGTCACCATTTAGAATTCCGGAATCTTTAAAACACGGAACGAGAATCTCCGGAATCTTTAAAACACGGAACGAGAATCTCCGGAGTCTTTAAAACACGGAACGAGAATCTTCGGAGTCTTTAAAACACGGAACGAGAATCTCCGGAGTCTTTAAAACACGGAACGAAAATCTTCGGAATCTTTAAAACCAGCTATCTTTGAAAAAGGGAACGGGGAATCGGGGAATAGGGAAATCGGGGAATGGGGGAACAGGGGAATCAAGGAATGGGGGAATCGGGTAATGGAGGAACTCGGGAGCGGGAAAACTGGGGAATGGAGGAACTGGGGAGTGGGAGAAATGGGTAACGGGGGAATGGAGAGCAGGGGAAGAACAGTTTAGAACTGATAGAGCTATCCAGTTTCATCAAATTTATTCATTCAAATATGTACAGCTAATTGTAAAATAATTCCTTAAAATTTCTAGAGTTCACAAGCCTTAAATCATGTTGAGTCCATAAGCTCCAACAAATCATCTCCTTTACTGCCTGAAAACCAAGAAAATAAACAAGAAATTGAATCTATTATATGTGTATAGATATTTATGAACAGCAGAATGATGAAATAAAAAAAATCGTATTTCAGTGTGTAAATTAATTTCATGCAATTTGATTGGACGTACGATGTTTTTCACGTGTGAAAAAATGCCATACACGGCTTTTGATTGGACGTACGATGTTTTTCACGTGTGAAAAATGCCATACACGGCTTTTGATTGGACGTACGATATTCTTCACACGTGAAAAATTGTCGTATGTCATTTTGGCGGCAATTTGTTTACATTTTCTTTCAAGATGGCGTCGAAATATAGGAGTGAGATTCAAAACATAATTCATATATTCAAGATATTTTTACATTAAGCACATTCTCAAATCGTTCGGAAAAAATGTCTAACTTCTATTGAACAAAATTACAAAGAAACTGAACGGTAATAAATATGTTTTCATGCATAAAGTTTCGATTTTGTTGCTCGCTGTGTTTTTGTATATTAAAAATTGTCGTTATCAAATTGATCTCTATACACATTTAATAAACAAATTACTTCATGGTTGGAAGAAGTAATCTCTATCTATAGGCCCTATAGCACTTCATGTTAACAACAACTTCATTGAAACACCATTGTTTTAAAAAAGGCTTACAGAAATCAATGACAGGGCACCTTTTTCAAGACTTTAAATTCTGTATAGTATATTTAATTATTTACACTGAAAATCAATCCTACCTGCACTTGAGGACTCGTCTATGGAGAATTCGCTCATCAGTTTGCTAAGTTCATTATGCTGCTTCGTCTACAAAAAAGATAACTTTTCAACTCATTGTTCGTTTTTTAAACAACAACTGGCTATATTTAAGAGGAGATTTTTTATTATGTCGCGTATTTTGGCGGGAAAACGCTCAAAACCTAAAATCTTTTCGGCGTACCACTCAAAATCCATTTATTTTACCTTTATTCTTTAGATTATGTTGTGAACTAAGTTTTGAACTGTATTTGGTGAATGCAAAACACCAAACAAAGGAGTTATTACAAAATATAATGCGGCAGCTGTCAACAATGTTATAATGTCAACGCCATTATAACTGAAATGAATACAAAAGAAGCTTCGATTCAAGTGTCATTTTCTTCTCGGCGTATCCCGAGAAGTCTTTTCATTTTCACAATATTTTGAGATTATACAGTAAACATACTTTGTGGATGCTTTTCAGGTTTGCAAAACATTTTTAATGCTGAAAATTTTAATGCTGTTGCATTAAGATATAACTGAGGTTTTGAGCATGTATTACGCGACATAGAAAAATATCTCCTCTTAAAAAGTTTTAAACTACAGTATGCAACGAAAAGATAGTTTTAAAAGAAGAAAATAATATATTCTTCATTTTCTGTCTACTGTAAATTCATGAATGAGTTTGAGGCAAGCAAGCTGTAAAAGTGTAGAAATTTTACAGCAAATGTTAAAACTTAAAAGCAAATCTTGTTTCAAGCAAATTTTATCGCAAAGAAAGGAAAACAACTGTACCTTTGTTGCGTCCACGGTGATGACGTTTCCAGAATGTTTCTTCACTCTGTGCACCTCTGCTTGCCTAAAAATTGAAGGAAAAAATTGGTTTAGTTCAATGGTTCTGAGATAAATTAACTTATCAACTGACAGTTTTCTTCCACTGATGAGTAAAATCATCTGGCATTAGACAGAGTAAAATACTAAAGTAGGTCACATCTGGGTGCATTGCAAGCTAATGGGTTAACAAGAGACACTGACAGATAGTTTTGTTAACTTATCAACTGACATTACTCTTCCACTGATGAGTAAAATCATCTGACATTAGACAGAGTAAAATACTAAAGCAGGTCACATCTGGGTGCATTGCAAGCTAATGGGTTAACAAGAGACACTGACAGATAGTTTTAACTTATTAACTGACAGTACTCTTCCACTGATGAGTAAAATCATCTGACATTAGACAGAGTAAAATACTAAAGAAGGTCACATCTGCGAGCATTGCAAGCTAACAAAAGAAAACTTCAGTAAATTATTGGTGAAACTATACTCACTGCTCTTCCTCATCAGTGTTAAAGAGATTAAGACGGAAAGTGTTTCCTGAGAAAAAAAGGAATAACAATTAAGAGGAGATTTTTTATTATGTCGCGTATTTTGGCGGGAAAACGCTAAAAACCTAAAATCTTTTCGGCGTACCACTCAAAATCCATTTATTTTACCTTTATTCTTTAGATTATGTTGTGAACTAAGTTTTGAACTGTATTTGGTGATTGCAAAACACCAAACAAAGGAGTTATTACAAAATATAATGCGGCGGCTATCAACAATGTTATAATGTCAACGCCATTATAACTGAAATGAATACAAAAGAAGTTTCGATTCAAGTGTCATTTTCGTCTCGGCGTATCCCGAGAAACCTTTTCATTTTCACAATATTTTGAGATTATACAGTAAACATACTTTGTGGATGCTTTTCAGGTTTGCAAAACATTTTTAATGCTGAAAATTTTAGTGCTGTTTCCTCTATTTATATATCCTCTATAAATATTTCCTCTTAATCTGATATGGAAATTAAATCATTGTTTAGATGCAAGAATTGATTCTAGTTTGCATCGAAGAATTTGGGGATAATTTTAAAGCTACAAGTAAAACCAATATCTGGGAAATAGCTAGTTTCAAACCCTCTTCTTTATCAAAATAATTCAAACTGCCATTTGCTGGTTTCTACATATGAAGGTGTTTAAAATAAAGTTGAGAAAAAAAAAGGTTTCAATCCATAACTGTCTCCCATGTATATACCTTTGTTTGCGGATGGCTTGTCAGTATTTCCTCCCATTAGATGAGCAAGAAGGTTGAGTTCTGCTTTGGCGATTGGGTTTGGGTTTTCGGTGGATTCCTGTTGCATTTAGACAAAGTTTAAGACCACTGTGAGCTCTAGCTTATAGTAATTGCGATGGTTCTAGATGCAATGGTCTCATACTTACAGCCTCAGTAAGAGTTGTCATTGATCCAGATCTGCTTGTTTCCTGCGGAACAGTTTTAGGAGGAGACGTCTCCACTGGCCTGGACGCAGTATACCTGGAAGGTGGAAGATTTTAGACCTGGTTAAGACAAAGATTTAACTATTCACTGTGAGTGAGATTTCTTCCTAGAGGTCTAGAAAAAATTTATATACATCTATAATTATCTTTTATTCATCTACTGTTACTACAGGAGGAAACCTAAACTAAACTAACTTTATTTATACTGGACAGCTCTATCAGTTCTAAACTGTTCTTCCTAGAGGTTCAGTAAGGATCATCTCTTAATTATTGATCCATTGTTACTACAGGAGGAAACCTAAACTAAACTAAACTAACTTTATGTATACAAAAGGATAGACTTACATATTAGTTCCTAATGTGATCACTCTGTCTCCAAAAAGTTCAAACGAGCCTTGCTTATCAGACAAATGATGCTTGCAGTTGCTGCTAAATTCGTTGGTTTTGTAAACCTTGCCATTTTCATCATAGTATCTGTGGAAATGTACAAATGACATGAAAAAACACAATACAATTGCTAGATAATACCTATCATATCTTGTGATAAAACAATACTATATTTCAACAATTGTAGAATATCATGGAACTATGTAAAATGTATGGTTGAAAAAGATTGTTCAACTTACTTTCTAAAATAATAAAATAATAAAATAAAATATTACATAAAAACATAAAAATGTGGAACATCCCAAATCGTCACCGTACCTGATTGTCCCAGGTACCTCTGACGAGAAAGGAACGGCTCCGTCGGTCGGCAATACAAATTTACCATTTGTGTTCTGAACTTTGTCTTTGAGAAATATTGACACCTGATCAAAGATGGGAGTATTCTCAGTGTTTTGAAAGCTAAACTTACAAAATTTTCATGCATTCATTTTGATAAGCGACTTACCCTGATATGCAGATCTTGGAGGAAGGAAAGCAAGGATTGTCGGATAAGTTGAAATTGTGCCAGGCTTAAGCAGGCGTAGTTCTGCAAAAAAGTAGGCAGTGATTAGGTTTAGAGAATTTTGTTATGTTTGCCATGATAGCAAGCTTGATAGGCCAGCCAATAAGCAAGAGTTTCAAAATTTAGAATTTGACTAGGGAAGAACAAGAGTTTTTGGGCAAAATAGCATTGTCAAACAAGTTATTGAACTATGGAAAGGCCTCAAACAAATAAACTTGAACAAACAAACAAAAAATGATTTAATTCATGCAGGTATTACTGTACTTCAGCATATAGTGACTAATGTAATCGGTGGCATACCCAGGGATGGGTTATTACCAACTACTGGGGGAGAGGTAAGGGGAGCTGGTGTTTGTACTCCAGTCAATGCACAGCAAATGGTCAGCATCCCTCCTCCCAACGCAGCCAAAAATTGATCAGGTTGTCGCATCAGGGGTGAACAATGTTGTACGTCCTACACCCTGGGAAGAGTATTGTTAACAATGTTGTTGAAGCTTGTTGAATCATCAATGTTGATGCAATCACGATGCAATGTTGTTGTAACAAGTTGCAACAACATTGATGATCCAACAAGCTTCAACAACATTGTTAACAATACTGTTCCCAGGGTGCAGCACAACATTGTTCACTCCTGTTTTTAACAACTTGCATCAACATGATGATTTTTAAATGTGTACAGAAACTGCTTAGTGTAACTGATGATTGAGGACCCCTGGTGATACAGAGGTGGGACCTTTTTAAAGGCATATTTGGCATTGCAACAACAAGGGGGAATTTTAGAATTCTGATTGGCTCTGCCTGAAAAATGTAAACAAATATGCAGATTTGTTTAAATGAAATTTCTCCTTGTTCATTGCAAGGGTTTGTCATAAATCATGTTTTACTCATTGGGGCGACCAAGTCTCAGGTTTTCATAAGCTACGACTGGGTTGCTAGTTCTGAATGCCCTAACTTCTGTTGTAGACTTGTAGTGCTTTATACATCTGACAATAATATTATTACCAGTACCTGATAAAGTAATTTATAAACGTTGTTAACTTGCTCCATGACGTGGTCATTTCCTGCAACAAATTTCCTCACAGCATCCATGTGGTTCAAAGTAATCAGAAGGATATCACGTGGACTCATGCTGAGCAAAACCTGGAACGAAAACACAATTGTACATAAAACAATTCAGGTTTACTGCTTTATGACAGTATAAAGATCCAAAGGGGTTTAATCTATTAATCTCCTGGTAAAACCACACTGGATTAAATTATCAATATGTACGCTATATGAGCATTGAGCAGATTAGGTTAAAACTATTAGGATATAGAATTACACAAGTTCTGTATTGTAATGATAATTTAATACACAATCTAATAAGTTTCTCAACAGGATGGGAAAGTGTATAAACCTTATATTAGAATGAATATTGTTTAGTTTTGTACCTGATATTTCAAAGCCATTGTCATAAGATCATACAACTAGATAAAAAAAACAAACAAATTTATTGAAAATAATTCATTTAGCTTGTACTGTAGGTACACCACGTAAGTATTTAACAATGCAAAGCTTTCGGTCCGCACCTACAAGCTAATTTCATTATTGATGTCACCATGCAAACATACAAGAATATTAAATTTATCGAAGTTGACAAGTTAACAGCAACCAGGTATTCATCAGATAAATCACCCCCTGATGAAGACACTAGACTGGAGTGTCAAAACATTGGGTCATCAATGTAATCTCCGCAGTAAGTATCCACCTAATATGAACGGGTTTTTTGATTGGCTTTTTATAACAATAGTGAACAGTGTTTATGATTTGTTCTTTTAGAAATCAATCTCTATAGTTCATTGTGTTTTATTGTTACCATCAACCTATAGCAAAGCTTGTTCATATAGGTCAATACTGACCCAATCTTTGTGAGGTGATTACTTTGATTACTTTCAATAATTAAACAAGAGTAGCAATATATAATTACGATGAACCAATTTATTGATTACTGTATCAGAGATGATATAATAATATTATAATTGCTTTAGCATGCTACTGGTCATTGTGAAATATACTGCTACCCTAAGTGCAATGATTATGCAAATCTATGGTAATCTCGAATCCTAAGTTACTTAATACCTTGTCCATACTGGCTGAGTTAAGTCTCATGATGGATGCATGAGCCAGGCGGTCGAAAACAGTTCTCATTGCTTTCTTTGAGTACGCATCTTGGGGCTTGAACAGTTCGTCCATAAATCTTTTATTAAACATACTTCCAATGATGTCATGAAGAACTGAAAATAGTATTTCAAGAAAGCAAATTAGTTGCTGTTAGTTATGACAATTGATGAATAAAATCATCTGACAAGAGACAGAGTGAAATACTGAAGTAGGTCACATCTGGGTGCATCGCAAGCTAATGGTTAACAAGAGACACTGACAGATAGTTTTGTTAACTTATTAACTGACAATACTCTTCCACTGATGAGTAAAATCACCAATGGAAGGGTATTGTCAGTTAATAAGTTAACAAAACTATCTGTGAGTGTCTCTTGTTAACCCATTAGCTTGCAATACACCCAGATGTGTCCTACTTTAGTACTGGACTGTAATACCAGATGATTTTACTCACTTGTGGAAAAGTATTGTCACTTAATGAGTTAAAAAAACTATCTGTCAGTGTCTCTTGTTAACCCATTAGCTTGCAATGCACCCAGATGTGACCTACTTTAGTATTTTACTCTTATAGAAATTATGTAACTCAGACAATACTCTTCCACTGATGAAAATATTAAAGTAGGTCACATCTGGGTGCATTGCAAGCTAATGGTTAACAAGAGACACTGACAGATAGTTTTGTTAACTTATTAACTGACAGTATTCTTCCACTGATGAGTAAAATCATCAGACATTAGACAGAGTAAAATACTAAAGTAGGTCACATCTGGGTGCATTGCAAGCTAATGGGTTAACAACTTGAGAAACTGACAACTGTTTTAACTGACAGTGCTGAGCAAAGTCGTCTGACATATCTAGACAAAGCAGGTGCTATAAGCTTGCATTAGCTGATTGCCATGACCTCAAACATGGAAACAAAACAAAATATTTAACCTATCTTCTATACTCAAAACAAACTTCACAAAACCTATTAAAATCCCATTAAGAAACATCTAAAATACTACAGCAACCCAGCTATTTGATCAAACGAAATAACACTACAAATCTGACGTAAATTAACAAAACAAAAGCCGTATATTCAAACGGGACAAGTTATGGCTTTGTTGCATAGAGACAAATTAGCCTCGTTTGTGCAAATGCAAACATATTTTGGCCGCTATATCGAAAGATCAACACACGGGAAAGACATATATTGCAAATATGCTTACCCTTTTGAGCTTTTTCTTGCGGGATGGACTGCGCTCGGAGTCTTTGGTCCAAAATATAAAGCATTTCTCCTCCGAGGTTTAAAAACAGAATCGGCAAAGTCTTTGTGGACATGTTGATTTTACGGTTCAAACAAACCTAATTTTTATCCAAACGTTGTCGATTCACGTGAAAATATGCGGCTTGGATGATGAATTTTAAGCCTGGAAGCAAAGATTTGCAGATTTTTTTGCAAAAACCTGTTAAAACGATGATTTTTTCAGCGATATTTGCAGACAGGACAGGCCGCAAATGCTCGCCGGTGTACAAACTATACCGGCAGGTGACCTGTTTAAAGTGGCTCTTCGGAGTTCCTCGAGGCGATTTCGGGTTTCGCTGGATGTTATTTCGAAAATATCGGGAAACAGTCGCGAATACGTCAACATTTTCTCGCCTTTTTCCAAATAACATCTGCCTGGATACGAACTCGGGGAATCCTTTGTATCAGCGAAATTTGTAAACAATAATTGTTTTGACAGGATTTGTGATGATTTTACGCTGAATTCTTCAGCGAAGGGGAATATTTTGAGTATTTCGAGCTATTTCACTAGCTTCTCGCAAGTTTTTAGTTAGATCAATGAAAATAGTCAAAATTTTGAATCGATTTTCATTTCGATGTAAGGTATGGTTATTATGTCAACTATTGTTATTACCACGTGCTTCTAAGCTCAAATCGACTGGCTGCATTTGACCATTTGCAAACGATTTTTTTGAGCATATATACATGAATTTGATATTATAATACACCTTTGGTATTTGTACAAAATCGTCAAAGAAGCTCAGACATGTTGGTCGAACCATTTTTATCTGTCAATTATAAACCCATATTATTTGAGTATAACCATCAATATTTTACTCTGTCTAATGCCAGATGATTTTACTCATCAGTGGAAGAATACTGTCAGTTAATGAGTTAACAAAACTATCTGTCAGTGTCTCTTGTTAACCTATTAGCTTTCAATGCACCCAGATGTGACCTACTTTAGTATTTTACTCTGTCTAATGCCAGATGATTTTACTCATCAGTGGAAGAGTACTGTCAGTTAATAAGTTAACAAAACTATCTGTCAGTGTCTCTTGTTAAACCAATAGGTTGCAATGCACCCAGATGTGACCTACTTTAGTATTTTACTCTGTCTAATGCCAGATGATTTTACTCATCAGTGGAAGAGTAGCTGTCAGTTAATAAGTTAACAAAACTATCTGTCAGTGTCTCTTGTTAACCCATTAGCTTGCAATGCACCCAGATGTGACCTACTTTAGTATTTTACTCTGTCTAATGTCAGATGATTTTACTCATCAGTGGAAGAGTATTGCCAGTTAATAAGTTAACAAAACTATCTGTCAGTGTCTCTTGTTAACCCATTAGCTTGCAATGCACCCAGATGTGACCTACTTTAGTATTTTACTCTGTCTAATGTCAGTTGATTTTACTCATCAGTGGAAGAGTACTGTCAGTTAATAAGTTAACAAAACTATCTGTCAGTGTCTCTTGTTAACCCATTAGCTTGCAATGCACCCAGACATGCCCTACTTTAGTATTTCACATAAATGGCCTAACTTATTTTATAAAATTGTTTAGGTATTTCAGTACAAACCTTTGTTTCATAACTCAACACATGCAGCAAGTTCAACTTATCATGACAGGACAAAAGATAGCACACCATTCATGAATCCAGACAGACAACAAAACCAGTGTAACCTAGACGTGAGAAGGACAGATTTTCCATTACAAGTTTCACTGTCTGCTACAAAAAATAACAACAACGGTCGTGTTTATTCGGGAGATAAGCCAAGCGTCACGACAATTCTGGACCAAACACGGCCAAAGAATGAATTCTATGCTTTGCTAAGTTGGAGAAGGGGTTTAATAAAAAAGTTGGGAGTGGAAGGTTACAATGATAAAGTCATGAATATCACAAACAGAGGAACGACTTTTCATCAGGTATATAACCCAGTACTTCTACCACCTTTTACAAAAACAAAAGTACCTGGGTGTATTTTGCTAGCCAACTCTATGACAAGGTTGACATTCTAATGATAGAAAATATGGTTTAACAATCACTTATGATGTCACTGAAATCACAGCACAACTTGTGCAAGAAATTCAAATGCTCGTATTTCATTATTTCAAATGTTATTTTACGATTTCTATGGTACAATTCTCTCACCTTCAAATTTTAGGCTGTAAAACATTATCTCCTAACACGCAGCCAGCCTTCAGTACGAGAGTGTAACCTTGGTCATTGGAAGAGTGTTCAGAATGTATTAAAAGACATTGAACTTGTCATAGCCCTGGAAAGTGGGGTCGTTCACCCGCAATTACGGTATGCAGGGACTCTGGATGGTATTGTGGTGTACCAGGGCAAACTCTGTGTTATTGAATGGAAGACGTCTGAACGCAAACGCACAGAGCCCAAAGACTGCTTCTCATATCCGCATCAGACTGTCGCATACGCTGGAGCAGTGAACTATGACCAGAAATACCATCCATTGCAGGTAAAGCGTGTTCAACCTACTAGCTAAAAGTATACCATAAAGGGTTGTATGTATACTGTCTAAAATATGCAAGGTCTGTCAAAGCTTCCTACAGTTTTAAACAAACACAATTTTGACAAAAAGTATGAATACACTGCTTATAGTATTATTAAATCCAGTTTAAACATGGTTGACAATCTGTTTATCAATAGGTGGGTTTCACTCAAGATTAATACATAGCAAAATGTTCACTTGGCGATCAACTTCACACATATTGCCGAATTATGGCTTGTTGAAGTGAACAAATTTCATTAAATTGCACATAACATCTGCTCAACATTGGGTCAAAACCATTGACCATGCACCAATGGCTAAATTTGTCACATGACTGAAACCCAGCTATACCTGACAATGTTCTAACAATTTTTCGCATGTAGATAGACCATGGGCTTATAGTTTTGGCTTACCTGGATGGCAGTCCTGCTGATGTGATATGGCTTCCACCGGAGACATGTGAATACTACTGGAACGAATGGCTTCGAAGAATTCAGGAGTATAATCACACAAACACGTCAAATATGCATCAAGGGAGACCAATCAGGGAACTGGCACAATATGTTAACGGTATTTCACACCACCAGCCAGTGCTGGATGGAAATAGCAACATTGTAGAAAATACTAACATTGCAGAATGGTCTGAAACGATTGTTGATGTTTTTGAAACAGATCCGTCAATTTGTGAGTTTGATGAAACTGAATATTCTTGAAATTTGAAAAATCTTTCACTAGACATTTATGCACAAATTTGGTATTTAAAATGATTTGTATGACAACCATACTTCAGAAGTACCTACTTTTTAAGTGGTTCAGACACAAACCATGACAGCTTATTGTAGATTGTAGAATACTACCTACACTGGACCACCACGTTTGAGATATCTTTCTCAGGTAGTTCAGACACAAACCACGACAGCTTATTGTAGAATACTACCTACACTGGACCACCACGTTTGAGATATCTTTCTCAGGTAGTTCAGACACAAACCACGACAGCTTATTGTAGAATATACTACCTACACTGGACCACTATGTTTGGGAACTACCATACTCTGCACTTTACCATACATTTTTCAAATGTAATTTGTTACAATTTATACAGAATATCTCCTATGTACCTCAATTTGTTGAGTAAGTTAAATAGTTCAAATGTATTTTTTTAGTAGTTGTATTCTGTCAATTTTTAATTTATGTAAAAATATATACAGTCCCATATTTAAAATACATGGCAATCCATGCATTGCAAAATGCAAGCAAGTTATTCAAACTTTATGTACAATTCTCTAGCACCTTCGCAAATTTGTTTTCAATAATTTTCCAGCATATTAACAGAATTACGTGAACTACTGCACATTTCACAAACCGTTAAGCTGTTGTGGTTGAGGAAAGTACACCTTGGGCAACTCCATTGGGTTTCTAAATAAAATTAAACCAGTGCTATTACAGGAGGAAATTGGATAGCTCTATCAGTTCTAAAATATTCTTCCTAGAGGTCCAGTAAGGATCATCTCTTATTGATCCAGTGTTACTACAGGAGGAAACCTAAACTAAACTAACTTTATTTATGCTGGATAGCTCTATCAGTTCTAAACTGTTCTTCCTAGAGGTTCAGTAAGGATCATCTCTTATTGATCCAGTGTTACTACAGGAGGAAACCTAAACTAAACTAACTTTATTTATAATGGATAGCTCTATCAGTTCTAAACTGTTCTTCCTAGAGGTTCAGTAAGGAACATCTCTTATTGATTCAGTGTTACTACAGGAGGAAACCTAAACTAAACTAACTTTATTTACACTGGATAGCTCTATCAGTTCTAAACTGTTCTTCCTAGAGGTTCAGTAAGGATCATCTCTTATTGATCCAGTGTTACTACAGGAGGAAACCTAAACTAAACTAACTTTATTTATACTGGATAGCTCTATTAGTTCTAAACTGTTCTTCCTAGAGGTCCAGTAAGGATCATCTCTTATTGATCAAGTGTCACTACAGGAGGAAACCTAATGATTTACTATATATACATTACATAATACATACCATCTTCCCCATTATTTTCATCTGGTGGAGTTGGATCTGCAATTATAGATGGACTGATAAAGTTCCAGTCTTCTATCATGGGTCTTTCATGCTCTAAATTGTCAAAATGGTGGTATTCAACATTGACACAACATCTAAACAACTTCATTGTTTTCAAATTAGAAACAGCTTAGTTATAATGGATTGCAAGTTTTTAACTTCCATGAGCTATGTTTAAAAATATAAAGTCTTTTGGAGATGATTCATCACATTTGGGATGTCTCTAAGTTGAAAACAATGAAGTTGTGAATTTTGATGTAGTCGTATTGAAAAGAGTCTATTGGAAGCTGTAGAAGTCTAGATAGCCCAGAGGTATGTGTGTCCAGTTTCATATATTGCAGTCAGCGATGCATGCTCTCACTGATTGTAATAACTATACATGAAACTGGAAACATACTTGTGAGTGAGTGTCACTGACTGCAGTGTACGAAACTGGACACATACTTGTGAGTGTGTGTCACTGACTGTAATGTATTTAACTGGATACATGCTTGTCACTGACTGCAATATATGAAACTGGACACACATACTTGCAAACATTTGTCACTGTAATACCATGAAACTAAAAAACTAGACACATACTTATGAGCATGTGTCACTGACTGCAATATATGACACTGGACACACATGCTTGCAAGCGTGTGTCACTGACTGCAATATATGACACTGGACACACATGCTTGCAACCGTGTGTGACTGACTGCAATATATGAAACTGGACAGTGACACTTGGAAGCAAATATCACTGCCTGCATTATATGAAACTGGACACACAAACTTCTGGACTGTCTAGGGTCAAAGAAAACGTTTAATGTACTTACTTTGATTGTTGTTGAGGAATGGTCTAGTTCCCATCATATCGTGTTCTGACAAGGGTCTTGAAAGTGGTGGCATAGGTCGAACTAGAATGACAAGATACCAAAAATAATTTTTCGTCCTTTTCATTCAATACAAATTAAAACGAATCAGAATTATTGAGTTAAAATGAGCTCACCTGGGTCGACGTGAAGGCAAGGTACACTTTGTGACCTGTCAAAATCTATAAGAATAAACTATTTTTGAGCAACAAATTCAACTACTATTTTTTACGCAAAGTTGTCAGTAAACTTGCTGATCTGGAACATCTTGCTAAAAACTCTATGCATATACACCCATAGATTTTCAATATTGTATTATAAATCAACTGTACTGTAAAATCTTCAAATATCACACCAAGTATTCAATCTTATTCTCTGCCTTACCTTTCCTGTCAATTCGTTGAGTATCGTGGAGATCTGAGTCAAATGGAGGTATAAGAGCTACAGTAAGATCAAATGACTGAAATTAACTTACAATACAATACCACAAGTACTGTTGTTATCTGAGCTTGCTAAAATAAACTTATTGGAAACAGAATACCTATCAGAAGTGAAACTCTATTGGGTTTTTTCCTTAAGATTCATCACTTAGCAAGTAGCATAAATAGAGGCAATCGCCCCCCCTGCCAATATTCAAAATGGTGCCATTTTAGAAATTGGCAGGGGGGCGAGTTGTCCTTCTGATAGGTACTCTGTGACCTATGGTTGGATGTTTTATGAAAGCAAGATAGAGCGATTTATTCGCATTTTTTCAAGCACTCTAAAAATGCCTGTGGTTCGGTTTAACCTGGCTTTAATCTTAGTATTTCTAAATTAAGGCTTCTCTATGATTATAGTTGGCTCCAAATCTGTAGTTTCCCCCCTTCATTTTTACTTTTTAGACATTTTTACAAGGCCTTACAACCACAGAGCTATAAATATTAATAGACTTCCTTTGATCTCAGTGTGATTACTGGATAGTTAATCAAATCTTAAAAGATTCTTAATAGACCTTTCTTATAATGACGTCAAACGCGGAAAGTCTGATGTTACACGAAATTTGATTGGCTCCACAAAACTATCGAACCAATCAAACTTCGTGTAACATCATACTTTCCTCGTTTGACGTCATTATGAAAAAGGTCCATTGAACAAGATGGGAGATTCACCATTTAAACGAGCAATAATTTGCAATAATAAATTACGTCTCCTATTGAGTTTTCTTGACAATTACACATCGCAAACAAATGAAATTTTCTAACATACCTAGACCACTATCTACCCTGTCAATATTTTGCGATATATCAGCAATATATTTTTTCAAAATATCATTTTCTTCCGAGAGCTTTGCCACTTCCCCGTCCTAAAAAATGTGGAAATGGTTTGTATTCAGTTTGAAGCTTCTGTATAACAAACAAGTTCACTTACTAGAAATAATAAGTTATAATCAATTCCTATAGCAAAGTTCATCTCATTGTAATCCTAACTTTAATCCTGGTTTATCCTAATCCTACCTTCAATCTCATTGTAATCCTAAATTTATCCCTGACCCTGATCCTAAATTTCAATCTTATTGATAATCCTCACTTTAATCCTAGTTTATCCTAATCCTAACTTTAATCTCACCATAATCCTAACTTTAATCTCATCATAATCCTAACTTTAATTCTAAGGCTTGCCAATCCTTAACTTGATCCTGATGTTAATCTGACCCTAATTTCAACCAGAAACCAAATCCAAATCCTGACCTTAATCCTAACACTAACATTAACCTTGCCCTAATCCAAAATCTTAGTAATTAAGATATTTTTTAAATAATTAACATATTTTTGAAATAATTAAAATATATTTTTACCGTGGGATTAGGTGCAACTAGAAATTTCATCATAATTTCACCATCTTTTTCTGTGATATCTTTGATAACCATACCCAATCTTTCTTTTTGATGTATATATTCCTGTAAAATATAATTAAAGAGTTGTAGCCACTGATCTATATTATCTAGAATAGGTCAGTGGTTGTAGCTACAAGGCTGTTGTTAAGCAGTCTTGACAAAGGATGATTTCAGACTAAAGGGTGTTGTCTACAGATGCGGTTATTCTGTATTAGTTATGTAATTCCCCCCTTCCAAAGTTTTGAAACATGAAAATCTTTCTACACGACAAATACCTAATATATTTAGACAATACAAGCCCTCAAATGATAGGTTTGCCTGAACATATTTCAAAACTTGTGGGGAAATTGTTCGTTTTCTTACAAGATACAACACATTTGACAATGTTTTGTGAGAAAATTTAGGGAGAAATCATTTGACCAATTCAATGTTTTGTGTCTAATTACAAGGCAAAATCCTACATAATTATTAATTTCAGACCACAAAGGAATTGTTTTTGCAATAAAGACAAGTACTTATTAACACTGACAACAAGGTCACAAAAGTTCATAGAAGCCTAACCTTTTGAAGATCATCAAATCTTCTCTGCTGTTGAGACAGACAGGCTGGAGAATGAAAGATGAAAGTTTAGCAGGGACTGTGTTTGGGTGAAAGAAAGGCTTCAATGGCTTTTTCATCTGTAATACTACCACAACAGCTTCAATTTGAAAAAAGCAATTGACCTTTTGCATAATATAGACAGTAGCGCAGCCAGCCTGTCGATTTGTCCCGCTATGCTAATATTTTGGTGTTCACTGACTGTGAAAACAATAGATTTCTAAAGACATGAATAATTATAATAACTGGAAAGTTACATAGCGGGACAAAATCGTCAGGCTGGTTATGTCACTGATAATAATCATTATA